TTCACAGTTTAAACTAGGATCAAATCTCTGCAAGAAGGGGTGGTTTTGTTTGTTTTGTTGTAACTGAAAGGACCAAAAGAGAGACAACAAAGCCAAACCAATTGCACAACCCTATGCACCGCTTCATATACTGCAGCAAGGTCATGGGAGCTGCCACCACTTGAGGACAACGGCCACCGGGCAATACAACAAAGACTGGAGCATCTCCTTGGCTAGGTGGGAAAGTGTCTGTAACACTTGGAGGAGACTTTAAAAATGAATTCAAAGCCACTAAACCAGCAAGTGCGCTGGCTGGGAGGGCCCCTGCAGTCTCTAAAAACAAGAACCTCCCTTAGAAACAGTGCTCTGGCCTCCTCATAACCTCAATCGCTCCCGATGGCCCCAAGAAGCAGGTTTGATGACGCAACTGTGTTTTGTTTGCTTTTCAGGCTGCTTTATCTCACACGGCACCTTGCACACAGCTCGAGCCATGAAAACCCAGCTCCTCCAAAACTCACTCCCATTCCCTTGTGGTCAAGCTCCAGCTCCCAACGCAGTAGAAGCTGAGCTGGGAAGAGCCCAGCACACCAGCATCCCACTGTGGGAAATTCCCAGTAAAGCTGGAAAAGCTCCGTGGTGCCCTTTGCACTCCCCAGATAGCAGGGCTGGGTGATAAAGGGTACCTTTTTGGCTCTTTTTGACAGATTTACATCCCCATCCAGGCAATGTAAATACTGTTTATGAGAGTGCATCCCTCCTTGGGGTTAGGAAATGCAGAGGAGGGCTGGAAACCTGGTTGGACATGAGAAAGCCATCAGGAACGTCGAAGTCCACAGTGCCCTTGGCCAATGCATCTGTCAGATGGGGCCAGGGCAGCTCCCTGGCAATTAATTAAAGCTCCAAATCCTGTGGATTTAGGTAAGAAGGTGACAACCACAGCATCACCTTCAGGAGTCAGGGGCTTTCTAAGCACCAGCACTGGGTGATGACACCCACCACAGGTGTCAGACCTACCACTGGTTAGTAATGTATGTAAGAGTGTCCGTAAGAGCATCCTCACCCTTCCCAAACCCAAACCTCATACCTGGGGTAGGTGCCTTCCATTGCAGCAGGCTAAATGAAGTGCAGCTTCATGGCAGCAACCCCTGTTTGGTGTCACCCGGGCCATGGTGTGCTGCAGAAATTCAGCTGGGACCATTCCCAAGAATTACCTCTTGTGATTTATGCTCTCCTTGGGGTTTCCCTTCCCAGCTCCTAGTGCTCCAGCCACACTCACCCACTCTGGGACTCTTCTTCAGGCCAGAGAGGAGTCCTTGTCTTCTCTCCATCTTTCACTATGACTGTTAGCACTGAAATGCTTCATTTTCTCCAAGGAACAAACTCATTCTTACCAAGGCTCTGTTACAATACTGGAGTAAAACCAGCCTTTTCCAGCTAAGCTCACTGTCCTAAGGATGTGAATCAGTGCTCATGAAGAAATTCCCCCCTCAACAGATGGGAATTCAGGTATAAAGGTGACATCAGCTATGCCCTGGCCTCGTGGGCACAATGAGATATGATAAGCCCAGGGATATGGTCCATCAGCCCAGATTCCCTGGGCATGGGGTGCTCCATCAGCCTCCACTCTGCTAGACTAATGTGGGAAAGCTGCTCTCTAAGCTCCTGCACACAGGCCAGAGGATGCTGCTGGACACACGGATGTACTCAGAGGAGCTGTGGGTAAGCCAGACCAGCTCCTCAGGCCATCCTTCTAAGTGCTTGCAGCAGCATTTGCAGTGACCAAAACATTAAATATTAAGCAAAGAGAGTTAATCTGTACCTGGCCTATTGACACAAAGTGGAGGAGGGGAGAAGAAAAAGATAAAATTCTCTGTACAAAATCAATGTGTCTCTCCAGGCTGCCCCACCAGCACTTGCCAGACCTCCGAGCACGGCATCAGGGATGCATTTGGAGGAACAAGATGCACCAAGAGGTGCCACCCTTCCTGGCTCTCCCCAGGTAGCCAGAGTACCCACTGGGACTCTTGGGTGGCATGGGTGCAAGTGGGTGCTCCTGGGCTGAGAGCAAAGCCCTGGCTGGGGTCAGACTCACCTTCTGCTCACCTCTGCTAGGGTTGGGAGAGCATCCAAGCAGTGATAGATATCAATATCAGTGCCCGGTTAATGCTTACCAGAACCATTCTGCCACTCAAATTGGCTTTTTGGGGCTGGGGAAGATGAGCACACCGGGGCGGCTCAGCATCAGCCTGCACCTGCCAGGACCAGCACGGGAGCAGCCGTGTCCCATAAGATCCCTCAGCACCGGAACAAGCCTTGTACAACCGGAGGGAAACGCTACCATTCATTTCCAGGCAAACACTTTCAAGCATCACTCAGCACCTCTCCAGTGGAGCACACTGATTTTTTTCCTGCCTTGAGTGTTCACATGTATATTATTTTTTCATTCCAGCCCCAGCATTCCCCCCCCCCCCAACCCTTCATTTCCCCCCCCAAAAGAAAACAAACCCGAAAGCACAGAGTGTGCCTTGCAAAAGTCCTGGCACTGGCATCCAGTGGTGAAGGGGCACGCGGTGGTCCCAGCCAGCCCAGTGCTGCTTGTTGACATACGTGGCGCAGTATATTTCTTTAGACAAAGCAGCCTATGCATTCGATGCATTGTTGCGAGAGGGTTTGTTTTCAAAGCCTGACCCCAAACCTGAACTCCACAGATCCTGCATTTCCCAAGATCAAACGCGAGAAAACGTGACCAATGCAAACAAGAAATAAACCTTGATAATTATAGCCAAGTGCCTGGGCGGCTATTGTTTAGTGCAGACGAGCACCCGTTTTAGCATAAACATAACCCTATTTTTAAAGGGATGCCTCACAACATCACTCCTAATTTTGCCTCCGGATCTCCTCTTTGATACAAACCCCATTTTGTTCCTCAGTCCTGAGAACAGAGAGGAGATTTAAGAGCAGAGCCAAAACGCTAAGCGATGTGCCGAACACCAGTCTTGGACCATGTCCTCATCCCCTGGACCTGCTGGTTCACGGGAGACGAGGGGGAGCCCGGGGTCTGGCTGTTGCTGCAGCCAGCAGGAGCAGAGGGATGTCAGGGGACAGACAGCACCAGTCTTTTCAGGAAGGCCCTATCTATCACTTAGCACTTGGAAAGGAGATACAATATTTTCCTGATCGTGTTTGCACGCAAACGAGCGCCGCAGGGAAATTATGCAACCCTGAGCAGGGAGGGGTGGGAGCAAGGGAGGAAGGGTTGGAGGGGGGCCCCATGCTGCACCCCGCTGCCCTCAGCCCCGAGGTACCGCGCTGTGGCTGCAGATGGGCTCCATCACCACCTCCTCTCCCCTCCACCGCCGGAGCCCTTGCACCGCAGCCTCGGAGCAGAGATGCAACCCTCGCACGGCACAAGGGTTATTAATGGCCTCTTCATTAAGCACCCAGGCCAAAATGCATATATTCGTCACTCAGGCAATTTAATTACCGAGCCTGGATTCACCTCGCACACCCACACGATTTCTTTTTCGAGGCCTCTGTGCGGTCATAGCCATAAATAAATAGGGAGCAAGAGGCAAATGTCGACTCCTACAACCCCTGTCTTGGGCATGGAGCCTTTAAACCACCAGGACTTGCAGCATTTAATTTCTTTTGTTACCGCTTCTACCTTTAGAGCTCTGCCTTAGGCTTTCTAGATATGATCACAGAGAGCAGGAAACAGAGCGCTACGCGATGAGCTTCCTGGGGATCACACACACACACGCACACACATAACAGCCCATCAATCACTCTAATTACAACCGGCCACATGTCCTCAGCTCTCCGCAGCACTCCGTTACTGCCCATAATTACACGGTCACATCGTTTCTCCAGTAACAGTATCTCCGAGTTAATTTGTGATTGTAGCTGTGGTATATCTCATAGTGCATTTCATCAGCATGATCACTGGTCATGCATCAGCTGAGCAGAGGGAATGCAGGCAACACTGGTCCCCAAAATAGTAGTTTAAAGACTTCACACGCCCCCCCCCAGCACTACTGCTCTCTGCAGCACACTCACGCTTCAGTTTCTGACTCTGCCCATGTCCCATCCAGGGTGAGGACACACTACAAGCAGATTCCTCAACGCCAAGTGGTTTTCTCTACCCACCAGATAAAAGCAAGCTGGGAAATGGATGTTCATCATGAGGATGGATATAATCTTCTAGGGGAGGATACCAAGACCTAGGACAAGACTAGGCCTGCTAAGACCAATGTCCACCATGGACCACTGGGGACAAGCACCTCGTCAGGCTGATGTCCCACTGCCAAGTCTACTTAAACAGTGGGGTGTGCAATGAGAAACAGCCCTATTAACATTATACAGCCTTGACGCTGGCTGAGCCTGTTAGGTCCTATCAAACCACACAACTGGGTGCAGGTTGTGTGTCTTCCTATTACCAGGTGGTAACTACTGGAGACCTTGCGCCCTCGGCGCGGCCATGCAGGCGGCACTGGCAGACCTGCCCTATGTAGGCTTTCCCACCAAATCGATGCAACTTGAAGAAGGCGCGTTGGTGAGGCTGATGCTCTCCTGCAGCCACCCCCGAGAGCGATCCAGCAGAGAAGACAGACAGACAGATAGACAGACAGCTTGAAAAACCCGTAACAAAATGACAGGGATAATAAAAAATAAAGGGGGTGGCTCACACACACACCAGCTGATTCACTAGCGTTGCTCTCCTTACTCCAAAACACACCAGGCAGGACAAGCTAAGGGCATGCTTTTCAGATGTATTAATTTTAATTGAGTACATAGGAGCTTAGAAACACATGATGTTGTAGGAGATAAATATCGCCACAACTACAAGGATGGAGGGGGCAGGGAGCAATCGCGGTTCAACACATCCGAGAAGGAGCTTTCAGCCGCGAAGCCACCTCGGTGCGCTCCGGGAAGCAGCGGCGGCCGAGCCGCACCTTCCCCCCTCCGGCCGCGGACCCGGCTCCGCTTCTGCAAGCTCCGGGAAGGGACCGAGGAGCCCGTACCTGTTTTGAACTCCAGCGCGGGGTCCTCATTGCCCTCGCCCAGGTCGCTCTGCAGCATCATGTAGAGGATCCCGAAGGAGTTGTGGATGCCGAAGATGGAGCCGTTGCACCAGGCGGCGGCGAAGACCACCACCCAACCGAAGCCACCCTCGGGGGGCTGGAAGGGCGCGGCGGCCCCGCTAGGCTCCTGCTCGGTCCCGGTCTCTGCCCCGGTCCCGGTGCTTGCCCCGGTTCCTGCCCCGGCCGGGGGCTCGCCCTCGCCCGCCGCCGCTACCGTCCCCTTCTCGTCGCGCTGCTCCATCGCGGCCGCGCTCCGGCCGCCGCCCGCAGCCCGACTGCCCCGCAGCCGGTCCCAGATGCCCGCCGCCCCCCCCGGCCGGCCCCCCCGCCCGCCCCCTCCTGCCGCAGCCTCACTCCCCGCCTCCCCTCCACCGCCTCCATCCTCCTCCTCCTCCTCCATCGCGCCGCTCGGCCCCCGGGTCTCTACCTGCGCCGGGGGGTGGCCCGTTCCCCCCCCCCCCGCTTCACCCTCCCCCTTCCCCGGGCCCGAACAGCGGCAGGAGGCGCTTCCCCGACACCGCCCTCGCTCGCCGCCCGCCCGCGGGGCTTAAAGGCGGCCCCGGGCCCGGTTGCGGCCCCGCATCGCCCGTCGGGCCGCCGCACCGCCTCCACCGCCGCCGCCGCTGCATCCTGCGGCGGGCGCAGCCCCGGGGCGGGCCGCAGCCAGCACCGCCCTCACCGGGCCCGGCCGGGGCGAGGGACACACCGGAGGCACCCGCTGCTCCCGCTACCCCCGGCCCGGGAGAGCCCCGGCCCCGCGTCCCGGCCGCCGGCTTGCGGGAGCATTCCGCAGGGGAACAGCCCGGCGGTGGGGCCGCTGATGCTGCAGCTCCTTCTGCCCCACCGGGGTACACAAAGCAGCAGGAACAGGCTGAGCGATAGCAAAACGCAGCCTCGATGAAGGAATTTATTATCTCGTTTCATGCCGGGTTGCCTGTGGGATCTTTGGCTCCCTGGCATCCCCTACCCCGAGAGGTTTGAGAACGTTTTTGTTACACCAGCAAGCTCCATGCTGTGAGGTGGGGAGGTGAGAAGCCTGCAACGTAAATCCCAGCAGCGGGATGCGGGATGTTCCCCAGGGCTGTGGGTCACCCGACGTTACCTCTGCGCTGTGGTTCACCGAGCAGGACGGGCAGGGATGCGGCAGGGATCTACTCTCACCTCGCTCTCTTTTTGCAATAAGCTCTCCCTTTTCTCTTCTTTCAATAAATAATTACAAACCCACCAATATATTAAAGCCCGTCTTTTCACACGCTGAAGGTATTTTCACTTTAATATATGCCAAGTCTAAGTTATTATTCTTTCTTTACCCTAATGGCTGTGTCAGTGTCAGATTCCTATCAGAGTGAAATAATACATCCCAACCTCACGCTGCTCTTTCTTTACCTCCAGGGGTATTAATTACCGTCGCCTGGCGAGGCAGCGGGGCAGGGTGCGGAGCAGGCAGCAGGCAGGGCCCCACTTCCAGCACCGTCTCCTCGCTTCTCCCGCCGCCGCAGAGCAGCACCGGCCCAGGGGCGGGCGGGCTGCAGGGTGGGAAGGCGTTTGCCGACGTGCTGCGGCTCGCCGGACCTGGCGAAGACCCTCCGGGACACGGCTACAGCCAGAAGAGCCTCTCCTCGGCCTGCCTGCCTGCTCCTAGGTGCGAATCACTGCCAGCTGCAGGTCTGCTCCATTGCCATCCGCTTTCTCCCCCCCAGGGATGAGGAGCAGTGAGTGATTCCCTCTGGCTCCCCGCAGCCTGCGTGTGCGTTGGACAGACACAAGCCGGAGGGCTGCGAGGATGGGAGATGCGGTTCCTCCCCACGCTACCCCGCATCTCCGCCACGCCGATGGATTAGCCTTAAACCCCCCCTTCCCTGCAGGGTGCCCCGCGGTGCCGCCACGCTCAGCTCAGCCCCGCTGCCGGAGGAACTGCATTTATTTCCCTTCCTCTCCGGTGCAGTCTCCTCCCCGGATCCCCGTCTCCGCAGCGAGGCTGGGGAGGCTTGGGAGCGTCTTCCACTGCCCTCTGCCGACACGAGGAGCCGCAGAGCGGGATTCTAACAACCATTTCAGCCTAGGGCCGCCTGAGGTTGCTGGGTTTATCTCGTGAAGCCCCAGCAACCTGAGAGGGAAGGGTTTGGGGGACCCGAGGCTGTGGGCAGAGAAGCTGCCCCCCTCTCCAATGCTAAGTCACTGATGCTGCAGAGCTGGGGATGGATTAAAAACAGCAGAGAGAGAGATGGGAGAGCCCTTTGCCATAGCACACACCATTGTAAGGGGACTTCTCCTCTCCAGAGCTACAGAAAGCACTCGTGGAGTGGGAATTTTGGGGTGAATAGTACTGTGGACCTTAAGGCAGGCGCAAAACCCACTGAGCAGCATCTCCAATCATGTGAATGTTGGCTGCACAGGGTCCTGAGAGTGTTTTCTTGTGCTGGTCATGCCAGGTATTGCTGCATCTTTCTGGGCTGAACAACACCAGTGGGGCTGGGGGTAAAATCACAGGGCAGGGGTAAGTAGGGGTTAAAGGGCTGAGCTGGGTGAGCTGGTGGAGGCTTCATCCACAGGGGAGCTGCAGCATGGAAAGCTCAGGGAACATTAGGCAGAAGCAGCTCTGCTATCAGTGTAAGACCAGCTTTTATTTAGACTGGAGCATCCCACCCAGAGGGTTTGCAGCTCAGTAACCATGGCTAAAAATAGAAGAGAGAAAAACACAGTTACAGCTGCTCTTGCCTGGTTACACTCAGTGATAGAAATACCCTCCTGTGTCCATGGCATGGCTTTCCCCAAAGCCCCCAGCCCGCTGGCTTGGTATGGGGTATGGTGAAGCTCTTTGGTACCCACATCCGACATCCCTGCAGAGCTGGCATGTGGCACCTCATGTCATGGTCGAAAGGATTCTGGTTGCCCAGGCAAAGCGTGGCTGTCAGCAGCTTGTTCCTTGTCTCCAAAATGCGGTGCCAGAGCCTCTGCCAAAGGGATTGGCAGCTACAAAACATGTGTGCTTGGCTTTGCGGAACGGGGCAGTGACAGAATAACACATCTTATGCAAACACCTTGGGAAGCATTGCAGTGGGATGTGGCCTAAGAGGAGAATACAAATTCCTGCTGGCTTTGCAACCTGTCTTTGTTTCAGGGGGTGTTGCACAGTGGTGTGGGGACACTGAGGACAAAACATCACTGACAGCATCTGCTGCCTGGTTGAAAGCACCAGGAAAACAGCTCTGGTAGCGAGCAGCTCTAGCAGAGACATTCACATGCTGGGCACGACCCCTTCCTGTCATTAGCAATGCTTTTCTCTTCAGATTTCAGCAGTAGTCAAGACAGCTGTTACATCTGGCCTGACAAAGACACCACATACATTATCCCAGAGGAATAAACAACTTGAGAGCAGCCTGAAGGGACATGGCAGCAGTCACCCACTGGCAGGGATGCTGGGACACAGTGTGCAGAGCCCAGGGCTTGTCATGGTGAGAAGGCAGCAAGAATACCAGAGAATACCAGGACTTGTAACGCTGCTGGTGCTGCCTTCAAAGGAGAGCAGCCCTGACAGCAGGCAGCCAGGCTGTGGGCAGCACACTGCAGGGCTGCTGCCTGCTACACCCAGCCAAGGCAAAACGCACTCTGTAGCATCCTTCCACTGTGACCTTCACAATGGCTGGGATCAAAATACTAGAGGTGGCATTTTCTGCCTCATTAACGAGATTAAAGTCGATTCTACTTAGTTGGGTTGAAAAATGAGGCAACTTAAGCGTGCTGGTGTGAGCAAGCAGGTTTTCAGGGCACTATGCGCCGTCAAGCCCCACATTTGTCTTTATTTGGTGGTGGAAATCACAGCACCATGCTCACTCTAGCAGCTGCAGGCTGGGTAGGGAGCATGGTCTGGCTCAACCACAGTTGCAGCCCCGCCTGATTTACCATACCGTTGAGCAAAAAACGCTATTTCTGACCAAACAGAGCAAGAAGATGGATTCATGTTGTATTAAAGGGCTTCTGAAGTGGTTCAGCTGCCTGCTCACCTTCGCCACACATTTGAAGAGGTGTGAAGAGCGCTTCCTGAGAGTGCTTCACTGATTTTGTGCCTTTCCTTTGAAATAGGAGCTTAAAGGGCATGTTCCTGTGGGAAAGTGGAAGATTCCGTCTGGAGCCACCAATCCCAACCACAGTCCGGCCGCCAGCGGCCACCCTGGCTCTGCTGTGTAACCCCACAGGACCTTGGTGAGAGGTGCCAGAGATGCTTTGCTGACGGGAAGAGCTCAAACCGGCGCACAAAGGAGGCAAGGATCCAGCTGTAAATTAATATTTTATAGAACACCAAGAAAAATCAGAGAGGCTAATTACAGCGATAATCATCGCGGCCCCGAGGCATTTCCATGGAAGTCAGGAATTACCCAGGATTACCTCACCCCTTGCAGCAGCCTGCGCGGGAGGCGGGCGCGTGCAGCAGCAGCACAGCACCAGCACCTCCTCCTGTGCTGGCTGGGGGTCTGTGACCCAAACCATAGAGCAGCCAGGGCTTGGCAGCCTCCTGGCATCCGACTCTGGATGCACAGAGCTTGGTTTGCTGAGCTGGGTGTGATGGAGGGTTGGAGTTGTGGGGTTTTGGGCTCGGTGCTTACTCCAGTGTCAGTGTCCCCAGTGCCACTATTGTAGGAGCCATCCAAATAGGTGATACCTACTTGTCATTGCTAGCAGAGGAGTTTGTGGATGTGCTCCCAGCACAAGCTGTTCCCATGGTACCTTAATTACTGGTAGGAACTGATAACTGCATAGCTTATCCAGGGACAGAGCAAATTCCTCATCAGCTCCTGAGTTTGGAGGTGGAGATCACATCCCAGCTCCAGAACGGCATGAGGTTGGCCCTCCACTGTTTACGGCAAGCCTGGAGCATCTTCACAGCTGCATGGCCAGGAGGGCTGCCTGCTCCTGCCCCATGGCCCATAGCAAAGCCAGCACAAACGTCTCCAGGGCTAACAGCTCTGGGAGCAGAGGAGTATCAGTGCAGCTGGTTTGTGCAGCTGAGATCAAGCAGGAGTGCACCACTGGTCTAAGACCCAGCCTGCAAGTGAGACAGGAAAAAGTACTGGGTAATAAACCCACACCTGGTGTACACAGAGCTGGGAAGAGCCTGGGCAGAAGCTGGTCCTGGGCTGGAGGTGCTGCTCAGCTCTGAGGGTGCTGCTGCCTGCCTGCACCCTCCCCAAACCATGCTGCAGCACCCCTGGAAACAGCAGAGATACCAGGCACAAAGCATCCCTTCCCGTAGCTCTGCAGAGGGCATGGAAAAAGAAGTTCCTAATCTGCAGAGTTGGTAAAGAGGCAGAGAAGATCTGCAAGGACATCCCAGGGAAGGACTGTCTGCCAACATGTTCACTAGCACATGGGCCTGCCACCACCTGAGACTGCAGTAAAACAGCAAAGGCCCCCTGTGTGCGGGAGCCGGGCTGACTCTCCATCGCTCTCCCTCTATCTGTAACAGGAGTAGCGCACTGCCTTTCCCTGCCCAGCCCTGCCATGTGTGGACCAGATGGCCAAGCTGCATGGAGCACCCCGGGCATGCTGCCTGCTCTCCTGCCTGTGCCCTCCAAGCTCGGGCATGTGCAGGGCTGTGAGCACACAGGCAGCGCAGGAGAGGGTCCAGGGGCTCCTGATGGACATCACTTCCTTACAGAACTGATGGACAGGGGCAGAGCAGTTGATACCATCTATCTGGACTTGTGCAAAGCGTTCGACACTGTCCCACATGACAGCCTTGTCTCTACACTGGAGACACATCAATTTGATAGGCAGACCACTCGGTGGATAAAGAACTGGCTGGATGGCTGCACGCAAAGACTTGTGGCTCAGTGTCCGGCTGGAGACCAGTAACAAGTGGTGTCCCTCAGGGATCAGTGTTGGGACCGGTCTTGTTCAACATCTTTGTCACTGACATGGACAGTGGGATTGAGTGCGCCCTCAGCAAGTTTGCCGATGACACCAAGCTGTGTGGTTCGGTTGATCCGCTGGAGGGAAGGAATGCCATCCAGAGGGACCTTGACACGCTTGTGAGGTGGGCTGATGCCAACCTCATGAAGTTTAACCATGCCAAGTGCAAGGTCCTACACCTGGGTCGGAGCAATCCCAGGCACAGCTACAGGCTGGGCAGAGAAGAGATTCAGAGCAGCCCTGAGGAGAAGGACTTGGGGGTGCTGGTCGATGAGAAAATGAACATGAGCCGGCTTCAGTGTGCGCTTGCAGCCCAGAAAGCAACCGTATCCTGGGCTGCATCAAAAGGAGCGTGACCAGCAGGTCGAAGGAGGTGATCCTGCCCCTCTACTCTGCTCTTGTGAGACCTCACCTGGAGCATTGTGTGCAGTTCTGGTGTCCTCAACATAAAAAGGACATGGAACTGTTGGAACAAGTCCAGAGGAGGCCACGAGGATGATCAGGGGCTGGAGCACCTCCTGTATGGAGACAGGCTGAGAAAGTTGGGGCTGTTCAGCCTGGAGAAGAGAAGGCTGCGTGGAGACCTCATAGCAGCCTTCCAGTATCTGAAGGGGGCCTGTAGGGATGCTGGGGAGGGACTCTTCATTAGGGACTGTAGTGACAGGACAAGGGGTAATGGGTTAAAACTTAAACAGGGGAAGTTTAGATTGGATGTAAGGAAGTTCTTTACTGTGAGGGTTGATGAGGCACTGGAATGGGTTGCCCAAGGAAGTTGTGAATGCTCCATCCCTGGCAGTGTTCAAGGTTGGGTTGGACAGAGCCTTGGGTGAGATGGTTTAGTGCAAGGTATCCCTGCCCATGGCAGGGGGATTGGAAGTGGATGATCTTAAGGTCCTTTCCAACCCTAATTAGTCTGTGATTCTATGATTCTATGTAATAGCATCGAAACCTGTGACCAGAACAGGCACATGAGGGACAGCACATGGAAAAGAGCATTTCCCAACGATTGCAGAAGCAATGTGCCCTCTGATCTGCAAACCTGGTGATCACCAGATAGTGATTTGCAAATCTTCCCCTTTGGGGTTCAGCATGGGATCTCTCCCTGTATCTGGAGTCCTCAGATCTATTTAGCATCTTAACCAATGCAGTGTGATCCATCACGACTGATCATGAAACCACACGGACACGTGCACACGTAGCTGCCTGCTGTGTTAGTGCCCTCATCACCATCGCACAGGGCAGAGGTTGCAGCACACTCATCCATGTCTAGAAAAGAACAAACCAACAGTGATTAGGATTCCCTGCAAATCATCTCCTTTCCTGGAGTGCAGATCCAGGACTAGAGCTGGGATCACAGAGGAAAGTAGCTGCTGTCATGGGTTGTCATGGGATGCTTGAGACCAGCTCATGCATAATCCACTGAATTCCTCCATACAGGAGGGATTTGGATCGATTTTAAGTGTATTCAAGCACCTAAACCCAGGTGAAGGGGCCTCTGTACTATGAGGGGTTCCTGGGGCTGAGGACCAAGATGGTTGTGACACCCATCAATTTGCAGCACAGCAAGCCCCAGAGCTGCTCCAGGTATGTTCTGGGTGTGACTGATGGCTTCAGCTCTCACCTCGGATGCATCACCCATGGCAAAAGGGATGCTCACACCTCTTGGCCAGCGGTGAGTCCTCTGAATCCCCGTCCCTGTGACAAGGTGCTGATGAAGGTTGTGCTGGTCCTGGAAGGAGCATCAGCCTGTCTCACCCTGACCAGCTGCACTCCTGGCTCTGTTAGGGTCAGGCAACACTTTTACCTCTGGTAGCACCAGCTCATGCATCAGCATGGGGACAGCACAGCCAGACAAGGAAGTCCCGGCTGAATCTGAAGCAGCCAGCCTGAGCGGCCAAGCTGCTATAGCCACTTGAGGAGGATCCATGAGGACACCCATGGCTGGTGCTGGCACAGGCTGCAGACCTGCCTGAGTACCTCCAGGCATGTCATAGCTGCCCTTACACTGCAGCCTGCAAAAGAGACAGGAGCTGGGATGGGACATAGCCTTGTGCCAGACCCCTAGGTCCAGCCTAGTGTGTATATCAGCTGTCCCTTTTGGGATGTCCATGCCATGCATCCATTCTTGGTTTCTGTCTTTGATGAGGACCAGGAATGGCCACAGCAGTGCTCAGGATTCGAGGTGCAGCACCCTGATGTGCTGGGGAACAGGGAGCTCAGCGGTATCCTCTTTGCAAACACGGCTTAATCCAGCCCTGGAGCGCTCCGTGGGAAAACATCGAAGTGTGAATCATCCTACTCCAAACCTCAAACCATATCACAGCATCCCTCGCTCTGCTGAAGTTCTCCCTCTCCCCCATACGCCCCAGTGGGAAGCAGACACTGATTCCCACATCGTGCTCGTTCTGCCCTCTAGTAGCGGCTGGAATTACAGCAACGGGCTGTTTGTGAGCGGGGCCTCACCGGGGGCTTGGGGAGGGATTGGGGATCACCAGGGCTTAGGGACGGGGTCATTGCGGAGTCTGAAGAGGTGGCGGGGAATCATCAGGAGTTTGAGGATGGGATAGGGGTTCACCAACGGTATGTGGAAGGGGGTCAGCAAGGGTCTGAGGAAGGGGCAGAGGGTCACCAGGGGTCCGAGGATGGGTAGGGGGTCACCAGGGGATTGGGGAGGGGGTAAAGGATCACCAGAGCCCGCCCTGGCTCCGCTGGCATCCCTGCCACGGACCCGCAGCCGGCACGGGCAGAGCCGAGCGGTTTTCCCGCAGTCGCAGCCCCTGAACGAGTCATTCCCAACGCCGCTGCCGAGCCAGCCTGGAAAACCGCTGCCGGGGCGCGGCGGGTGGCACAGGGCAGGCAGCGGGGTCCGCACGGCCCGGCCCGGGGCGCTGGGACCGGAACGGCCCCGGGGCTCGGCCGTGGGAAGCGGAGCGGGGCGGAGCGGGGCGGAGGCGGCGGAGCGGGCACATGCGCCGTGCGCGCACTGCGGAGCGGCGCGGAGGGGCGCGCAGCGGGAACGCGGCTGCCGCCGCAGCCCTGCGCAGCCCCGGGGGCAGCCGCGGAGGGAGAGACCCCCCCCCTCCGAACCCCCGAAGCCGGCGGAGGTGAGCGGGGAGGGATGCGGGAATGACGCGGCACGGGGAAAGAGGGGATACCCCCATCTGTGAGTTGCAAGAGGGGTATCATCGCTTGGCAGCCTCTTTATTGGGGTCCCCCTTGGCTTTGCATCCTTTTTGGGAAGGGGGCATCCGTGCATGGAGGGGATCCCTCAGAGCTCTGCATCCTTTAATGGATGGGGGGTTCTCCACCGCTCTGCATCCCCGCATGGGGGGTCCGGGCCGCTTTGCATCCCTGGGTAGCAGGGGTGTCCCTCATAGCTTTGCATCGTGCATGGGGGGTGTGTGTGTGTGTATGTCGCTTTGTAGCCTCGCATTAGGAGGGGGCTGTCCAAGCTTCTTTGCATCCGTGAGGGGAGAGTGCCTGTCACTTCACACCTACCCACCGGGGGGGGGAAGGATGATCCTTTGCATGGAATGGAGAGAGTCAGGCTGCTTTGCACCTTTTCATGCAGGGGAGCCCCCAGATTACTTAGCACATTTACATTATGGGTCTCTGGGCCTCTTTGGACCTTTGCATGTGTGGGGGATTGCTTTCACTTTGCATTCCTGCATGGAGAGTGGGGTACCTGCCTCCTTTGCACCCTTGCATTGGGGGTGGCACATCACTTTACCTCCTTGCATCGTGGGGAGGGAGGATCCACCATTGCTTTTCGGTTTTACATCATTGTGGAAGATAAGCTGGTGTTCAGCGAGAGGCACCTATAGCCAGCATAGGGTAAGGTGCATCACCCCCTGGCTGGGGAATGTGGGGGGCACGGAGGGGCTGCAGCATGGTGTGAGCCTGGGGAAGCAGAGGGGACAAGGCCAAGCAGGGCAGAAGCCTGATGGCAACTGCCATGCATGGAAGTCCCTAACCTAGGGCCCTCCCTGGGGTTTGGAGCCCCTCCAGCAGCCAAACAGGCAGGTTGCAGGCAGGCACACACCCCCCAAAGAACACAGATCTGGGGCCTCCATCCTCCATGATTCAGCTACTTGCAGCGAGCTTTAATTCTATGGCTTCAAACTCGAGTTCTTGCTGCCTCGTGGTGGTGTCAGCACGATAAAATACCTATGGATTAAGATGCTTTTTAGTGTAGTTTGTGGCTGCTTTGTCTGCGGCTGCCTGGCAGAGAGCAGCCAGGGGCCGGATACAGTGCCGGACACGAGCCGAAGGGAGGGAGCACAGAGCTATGGGCAGATCAGCAATGGCAGAATTAATAATTCATCTCCAAACTTCAGCATGCCAAGGCACACCCCTCAGTTGCTGCATCTCATTGCCTGGGTTTTAGAGAGGTTGCTAGATTCATTAAAATATATACATATAATGACAGCATTTGTGTATCTCAGTAGCATCCCCATGACAGGTTGAACAGCTTGGCACTGAGGAGAGGTTGAAGAGGGCATCAGCCAGGCAAAACTTCATCTGGCAGCTAGGAGGTTAATGTGCACCGTGCTCTTCTGTCACAGACGCAGAGCACGCTAAGGGCTCTCACACATGATGCCTGTGATGCAACTTAGACCCCAAATGTCCGCTCCTTCCCCAAGGAGCTGAAGCCCACGAAGAAAACTCCAGATGAAGCATATTTTGCTTTGAGCTATCATCTCCCTTGGCCCACTTCTGAACCAAAGATGCTCATCCTCCATTTTATGGTGGATGACAAATCAGCTGCGGATGCCAAGATCTTGACAAGTTACGAATAACAGCCCTCGAGCCCAAAGTGTTAAAATAAAACAGGCAGGAATGCTTCCCTTTTTTGCAGAGCTGCTCATCCCAAAAGGCACCCTCTGGGAAGGGACCACCCGAGCGCATGGCACAGCCCTAAGGGAATCACACTTGAGCTGGCTGGAGATGCCAGCTCTCTGGCTGGAGATGCCAGTCCTGCGGCTGTTCCCGAAGGCAGTGAGAGCTGGCTTTCCAGAAGAACCCTCACTACTTGCTGAGGGTTTCCTGGGTTTATCAAAGCTCCTTCTATACTGGGCAGAATAAGGGTGGTTTGTTCAGCAGCATCCTGGTCACACAAACCGCCAGCGAGCAAGAGGGGTCCTTCTGTTAATGAGCTGAGCACAAAAGGGAGAGAAATGTCATTGAGGGTTTTCCTTTGGTGATAGAGAGTCATGAAAAACGACACATGATTCCCTGGTCAGCAGGGATATCTTCCAGCCAAAACACAGCCGGGATCAGTGCCGCTGTTCCCACCACCCCATCCCTGACTCCTCCTCTGGAGGTCGAGACAGGCACTGCTGCTCCCAGGCAGCCTCAGCACAGGAGCCACACACAGAGCCACCAAAGGATGATGGAGGAGGATCACACATAGTTTTTTCCACCCCTTTCTCCCCATTTCTCCCTTCAACATACTGGGGCATTGCATTTGCATGGATTTTGTTTGTATCCAAAGCAGAGACAGAGCCAAAAGGTGGCTCTGGTGCTGGAGCTGGCAGCAGCTTCTATGGGATGGGAAGGACCTGGTGAAGTAGCCCTTGGCTCCACGAGCACCACTGAGAAATGAAACCACACATCAACTAAAACCTAAGGAAAACAAGTATCTGAAAGCCCATGTGCCAAATCACACTGTTTGCTACCCACAAACCTGTAAAGAAGCATCATTTAGATAAAAAACAGTGCAAGGAGCCTGCTTGCTTTAAACCCAACCGGCAGCAGGATGAGCTTTTTATACTAACCCCAAGGTAACGAGGCCGTTGCATTTATGGCATCCTCCTAAGCAGGCTTCTGTTGAAGGTTGGTGTTGCAGAGCCCAGCCTTCAGAAGCGTTTGTGATTTAGAGGCAATTTAGTCGAGTGCTGTTCCTAGAGCTGAAGCCTTCTGCAGTAGAAAGGGAGGGGGGGAAAAAACTACTGTGGCATTTACTAATAAAGCTCTTTAGGAATATTTTTAGCTGTGCTTTAACGTTCTGTTGCACTTTGCTGTGAAGTGTTTGCTCGCTGAAGCCTCCTGGCAGTTGTTAGTTGTGGTAGAGCTGCCTTTAGCTGAGTTAGCAGGGGAGGAGAGCTGCAGATGGACTGGAGGAGAGGTGCTGCTGCGGGTGGGTGGTGTGCCTTCCTATGGGACATGGGTCACTGGTGCAATCCCAGCCCAGGGAGTGATGCAGCTCTGCCCCAGGGCCAACCGGAGACCCAGCTCCCTCCTCCCTTTGGATGGAGGGCCTGACCCTTCCCCTGCTGCTGCAGCTCAGCCCCAATCTGTTCTTGGCAAACAGCAAATATTTCTCTGTGCCACCAGGATCAGGGCTGAGACCTCTCAACTGTGCCCCAGCTTACCCTGCAGATGGGGGACCAGAAACAGCATCCCACATTTTGGGGCTTTTCAGTCCCAAAGGCATTTTGCCATCCAATGCTTTGACATAAGACATACTAATCCTTCTCACTTGGGATGGGGCTGGGATGCTTTCCATGGCCCCAGACCATGTGTCAAGGTGGACATCTGGGTGCGGAGAGGTCCAGGAGGTGATGTTGCTTCTCCCAGGCCCATCAGCCTCAGCACAGTGAGAATTTACTCCCACTGGAGATCTGCCCTCTGGTTTATTTTAAGCAAGGGGAATGCTGGAGATCCAACCAGTTTTAATGCATTTCACCTTTGGACAATAGCTCTGGAGTGATGACCGGCTTCGCACAAAGCAGGGACATTTGTCACGCTGGTAGCATTCAGTCGTTTGGACTAGCAACAGATTAAAAGGTGGTCACAGATGCATTTCATAAATTAGAGCAACGAGTCCTTGTGGTGCAGATCACTCTCCATTTTGAGTGAAGTAAATCAGCAGATCTGGTCCAGCTCTAGCAAGGAGGTTTCTCCGCATTGCAAAGAGCCACCTGCACAGTTCCTGCTGGTTGTTTTTTCCTGAGGCATCAAAGCTTCACCCCCTTTAGGCTACAGACTCTGCTTTCCCTCCTGAGGCTGCTCGTGGTCCACAGCAGCCAAGCACCTGAGGATGAGAAGCAGGAATTTCAGTTCCCATGAGGCAGAGGTTGCTGCTGGTGACCCTGCAGATCACAGAATCAGCTAGGTTGGAAAAGACCTTTAAGATCTTCAAGTCCAACCATTGCCACAGAACTACCAAGACTAAACAGTTATCACTGAGGGCCTCATCCACATGGGTTTTGATCACTTCCAGGGATGGTGATTCCACCACTTTGCTGGGCAGCCTGTTCCAATGCCTGACCACCCTTTCAGTGAATAAATCTGTCTCCCCACTAAGGGGTATTGCAGGAACACGCTGACCCAAAGGAGCTGATGGACAGGCATGGGCTAGGAAGGACAGAGGAGGACAGAGCAGGCAGGGAGAGCAGTGGGACGGCCAGGCAGGCAAGTGGCTGAGCTGGGGAAGGGGAAGGTGGGCAGGGAGCTGCAGTGCTGGTGCCCACTGTGGGCTCAGAGGGAGGTCATGTCATTAAGTGCATTGTCCAGCTCCTCGCTGATGGCTTTGTACTTCATCTCCGCATACACTTCGTCTTCTAGATCTGTCCTGTTGCTCTTTGAACCCTCCTGCACTGATTTCCAGCCCGCTCTGGGGCAGAGCTCCACAAACCAACAGCTCAAAGGGCTGCTGATGCTGCTTTTGCAGCCACCACTTGCATCTGTCTGCACAGAAACATTGCACAGCCCAGAGAGCCTTCCCAGCCCTCTCATACCAGATCTGCTCTGCCAGGCTCCACAGGACAGGCTCCTTCAGGCACCTACCAGCCCAGCTGAGTGTCACCTCTGCCTCTTGTCCTTTGCCTGACTCCAGAGTTGGCTTTTTTCCCCTCTTTTCAATATTTCAGGACTGCCTTATGTCTCCTCCCTCCTATGCCCACAGCCCTTCTGTACCTTGCCATTGCCAGGGTACCTGCACTGAAACACAGGCTGTGGTCCTGAACAGGCATTGTGAGATCTGGCCCTTCTTGTTGGTTTGATATTAATTTGTAACCTCTTTTGTCTTCTGTTCAAGGATAATGGGTTTTTCAACATACCCCTTTGGTTTCTGCACTACTTGGGCTCCTGGCATCCAACCAAAGCTTTTGCTCCCTTGCAAAACCCTCCAGTTCCTGGCAGTGTCTGCTCCTCAGTGCTCAGCAGCACCCTGGGGAGCCCAGTTTGGGCAAGAGCTTTGATTGCAAGGGTAGAGCAAAGGGACTGTCCCCAAAGCCTGGCCCAGAGCTGAGCTCCCGGTCTTTAGATGGCTGTGCTCACTGCACCCTTACCCATGTCCTCCCCAGATCCAGGCTCAGGGCTGGTCTTGGCCATCTGACACATGGTGAATTAGGTTTCTTTTGGCCATCTCATACAAGCTCAGCTGCTGCTTCCTACACCATCCATGTGGGTGTGCACTGTGCTTCAGTACCCTCGCACAAAGTATACCTCAATGGCTGATCATCCTCCCCAGCTCAGCTCCGCTCATTACTGCCATGGCTCCATTCCCAATCGAGGTTTCTCCTGCAGGAAATGCCCAGCAGTAGATAACAAACCCCAAAACTGCCTTCTGTCCCGCCCTGGCCCCATGAAGGAGGATGGCAGCAGAGCATCATCCCTCTGCTCTCTCATGCAGTATGAAGCAGGACACTGAGGCTGAGCTGCAGGTAGGCACAAACCAAACATCTCTCATGGGGAATAGCCAGCATGAGAAGCCTGTTGTCACCCAGCCTGTCCCTTCCTGCAGGGCCACCCAGAGCATGCATGATCCTTCAGGCCACTATGGACCCCAGCACAGGAATCCAGCTTGGCTTTGCAAGTCACAGCTCTGTCTCAGTGGGAGAAGGCAAGTGGGTCTGGGGGCAGAGTGAAGGCAAGGAGACAGTTGTATACATGAAGAGCTATTGCAAAGAATATAAGGAGCAATGGCTGGACACAAAACTCGAATCTTTTGGACCCTCGACAAAACAAGAGCTGCTTGCCTGCCCCTGGTGGACCCCGAGGACTTAAGCTGCCAGATGTGATGTCTGCAGAGATGAAGGATGACATCTGGAAGGAGCCAGCTGTAGGGGTCACCTGTAAGCCAGTCTCTGCAGATCACACTGCTAGTCTGGTCTGCTGGAACCTGGGGCTGGCAGTCGTGGTCCAGGGCAGCACTGAGCTCCATCCCTCCTGTTCTCTCCCCCTGCATGGCTTGGGAAAGCAGGGGTTGCTCCAGGGTCTGGGATGCTGCGGTCAATTTGCTGCTTGTTCCATGGGAGAAATCAGCTTCTTAGGGCAGAAGATAAAGCTTATTCCTTGTCTCATCTCCCCTGCCTGGGTATCTCAGCTGATCTTTGCTTGGGCAGCAGTGAGTTGGATGTGAAGTGGGCACTTTCCAGTTACCATCATCATGAACTGTGTCCTTGGTCCGACAGCTAAGCTCTCACCACTGCCTTTCACCTGCAATGATTCCCACTACTACAAGATCTAGAGTTATTGACCTGTTCAGTAGTTAGGGAGGGAAGATGAATGATGGGAGAGCCCCTACAGTGTGCCTGTGCCATGGCAGCAGCTCCTGGGAAGGCCCCGTCTCATCCCATTCCTGCCTTCCACCTCCAAGAAATTCCTGCTGGGTTTGCAGCTCTCATCTTCCTCCTCCTGCAGCCTGACACTGGCATTACCCCTCTGATTGCTCCCCACTTCCACTGAGGAGATAACAAAGCCTCGTGGATTTTAGTCCACAGGAGCAATACTAGAACCTGCCTGATGTTCCCAGACCCAGCAGAAGAGATGCTCACACTACAACAATGTCCCAGAGTTGTGCATGGAAATGGGAAGGCTCAGACCATTGCAGTTGGTTGAGGTTGTATCTGTGAATCCCACACCCAGGAAGCACCTAGAGAAACTGGGACTATCCATGAGAAATAGATAAAGAGAAGCTAACCTTGCTGCCTGTGGCTGGAAAAGGCCATACAGCCACTTAAACCTGAGTGGGGCTTTGAAGATGGAACATCATGGGGACTTGTACCGTTATGCCAAAGCAGCAGAAGGGTGGGATGAGAGGGACTGTGCTGGGCAGCTGTAGCTGGAATCACCTCATTGCCTCAGAGCCATCTGCTGTATCTCCTAATGCACCCTCAGCTAGAAAGGAAAGAAAGACCTGAGCCCTCTCCTAAGCTGCAATCAGAGAGGAGAGCAGGAAGGGAAGGCTTCATCCCCACCTACAGGCACCCATGGCCAGCAAGGATAGACATGTATCCCAAGGGAGGGTTTTAGGAACTCCTTTCCACACCCATGGTGCCAGAGCAGGCATCTCACAGCAGAACCCAGCCCAGGGCGCAGACACCTTGCACCAAACCCATGCCGGCACACACATGAGGGACCTACCTGGGGCAGGAGCTGCTTGCAGGGGTGATACCTTCAGGGCAGGGCTAGTACACCCAGCTGAGCTTAAATAAACGCCTGGCCCATGGGTGGGGATGTGGATCCCAGGTGAAGCTGCTCAGGGCCATCAAGGGCTAGTAGTGCCTATGGGAAGATGGTAATTTGGTCCTGCAGCTGTCCAGATGTGGCTTTACTGGAGCACTGCCAAGCTGGGCTGTACTGGGGGTGCCATAGTGGTGCTGCTAAGCCTGGTGCACATGGTGTGTTAGTGATGGCCCATGATGCTGAGCACTGAGGTCGGGTCTGGTATGGCCACATGTGTGGGAGAAATCATTAATTGCTCTTGGCCAAACTCTGTCTGTGTTTGGAATATGAGCCATTAACCGGGGAATATGAGCCATTAACCCAGCAATGGAAAAGTTGCCTGCCCTGGCTACCCTGGCCTAAAACTGTGTGTGCCTAACTCCTTGGTTTCTTCTGCTCTGAGTCTTGTTAGTGCTTTTGGGGGGCAGATTATAGGGACCTTTCTTCTCCAGGATGCTCTCCCGTGGCATGGTTTCAAATGCTGTTATCAGACCACATCCCCGCCCTCTGCCCCTCTTCAAGGCTGTCCTTGCTGGGAAGTATCAGACCTCAGATCCTTCTTTGCTTCATTCCCCTCCGTGGTCCCCATGAGGGCTGGAGGCTGATTCCCCTCAGGCCCCATGCACAGGACAAAAAGCCCCGGTGCCAGTGGCCGTGTCCCAGGCGGATGCTGAGAATGGCTCTTTGTTCCCTGTTTCTAATTGCTGGGCCCAAGCAGCTCATTAACTGCTCTGCCCTGCACCCTCCTGTCCCTGCAGCCGCTGCTCCGTGGGGACATGCTGGGGCTCAGCCTCTGAGTGCACATTGTGGGGTCATACATGAAACCATCTTGAGGGGAGCCTGGGGTGAAGCTGCCAGTGCTGCTCCTCTCTTTATAAGCCCAAGTGGGGTTAAGGGGGTGCCTGCGAAGAGGAGCTGTGTGTATCCAGAGCAAACATCCATCAGCAGCATCCAGAGCCTCCCCTGCAAACTCCATCACAGTTTTCCCAGCCAAAATACACCCGGCTGGGAGAAGCCTCTAGGGTGTTTTGGGAGCCAGGGACAGCACCAGCTCCCCACATATGTGCAGTGACTTTGGGAAGGGCACACGGTTGGCTCTAAGGAGAGTTCAGGGCTGGGGTCCTTCCCACGGTGCCCTGAGTGCCCTGGGGCAGAGCGGAGCCCAACCATTCACCCCCTGCACATACAGATCCGGGAGCACAATCAGCCCTTTGGGAAGCTCGATATGAATGATTTAGGAACAGGTTTTGGACTCTTTCATGGAGGGAGCTTGCATTTGCATTTGAAAACTGCGAAGGAGCTGGCGGTGCTGGGGGGGGGACGGGAGCGCTGGCGGGTGCCATCAATGGGAAACTGTTCTGTCGAGCGCTCCCGGGGCCAAAAAATGTGAACTCTGCAGATTTCTGGCTCCGTTCATGGTTGGGATTGCTGTGCCCGGCTGCTCTGCTCCCAGCTATTAACGGCGCTGCTCGGGAGCTGGGTTTCCTTTGCTGCCAAAGCAGAGCGGGCGTTTGCGAAGGATGGGGTGGATGGGGGCGTGAAATGGGGGATTCATCTCACTGTTCGTGCCCTCCGGTCCTTACCGGCCCCGGATCCAATTCCTGGTGATTTCAATGCTGAAGCCATCAGTTTGTCTCTGCATTAGGGGTGGATCTGAGGCCTGATGCACTCGTGTCACGTAACACCCCCTTGTGCAAGCCTGTGTGCTTTGTGCCTGTCCATGTCCCAGTCCCAGCCTGCAGCACCCCAGGAGACACCACCGTGGTTAATAAATGCCCCTTTCTGTGCTCCTTTCTCAGCCTGTTTCACACCAATTGCCCTTTACATCAGTGGGGTGACCTTTCCCCAGCACCCCCTTCCTACCCCACTGCGCCCATTATCCTCCTTCGTTGCCAGCTTCCAGAGGTTCTCTCACTGGAGATGGGACTGCTGGATGCAGGCATCTCCCTACATTTCCTCAAGCCCCATAGAAAATGAACCATCCCCAGTTCAGGCAAGGATGGGGTGAAGCAGGGGGCATGTAGGGTGCTACAGAGAGCTGGCCATGGCAGCTTGCCCTGGTGTGGTGTGTGCACAAATAAAACCCTGGAGAGCTTTGCGCTGAGCTGGAAGTAATGGCATTACAAGCGCTTGCTCGCTTCTGGCTGCTGTTTGGGTTGGATGAGGCTTTTCAGGGCTGCAGCACAGGGGGGTTTGCTCCTGGTTTGCGCACAGCTCCAGGAAGGGAAGTGGGAAAAGCTCCGTGGGTATGGTGGCTTGGCAGTGGAGCACAAGGGTAGGGTCCTCACCTCCATCCTGGCATCCGTGTGCTCACTGGTTTGCACCCGCAGAGCATCCCCTGCTTGGAAAAGCCCTGATGCCACTGCATGAGCTGCACTTGCTGTGTACCGGTGCAGGCAGGATGAGTGCCCTGGGCAGAGAGCAGAGGGAATGGGGATAAAAACAGACAAATGGTAAAAGCTGAGTGTTTCTTGTTCTCTCTTTGCCCAGGAGAGGCGTGAGGGCTCGCCGGCAGCATGCCGCTGGTGAAGAGGAATATCGAGCCCCGGCACCTATGCCGGGGGGCTCTTCCCGAGGGGGTGACGAGTGAGCTGGAGTGTGTCACCAACAGCACACTGGCTGCCATCATCAAGCAGCTGGGCAGCCTCAGTAAGTCCCAGCACAGCGACCTCGGTGTGGGATGGTGGGATGCTGGTGGGATGCTGATGGGACGCCGCAATTGCTTGGTCCAGCTCCCATCACAGAGAAATGGGGCTATGTGAGAGCCATACGGGCTGCAGCCATCCTGAATTCAGTGGGAATTATCCAGCTAATTAAAAAAGGAGGATGCTCAGGGTCAAGCCCAAATGGGGACTTGATGACATTTTTAAGACCCATTTTCCTCCCACAGTTGACCTGTGCAGTGGGGGACAAAAAAGCCTTTGAGCCTCTTGCTTCTCGAGTTGGCCTGAAACAGGAGGGTCAGGTGAAGATTAAAAAACCCCAACCTATTCTTTTTGATCTTAGAGCTTTGTGTGAAAGAGAGGTCTATATAAAAGGTCTAAATCCTCATCTGTCTTCCTATGCTGGGACTGGTTTCAGCAGAAAAGCGGAGGATGAGAGCACTGCGCACACCAGTGTGCAGATTTAATAGGGGCAACCTATTTCACTGCTGAGTATTGACTTAAAATAGAGAAAGAAGCACAGGCTTTTCAGGGCTCCCCCTCTGATTTCTCCCCCCTCCAGAACTAGATTCTTCTCTAAAATACTCCCAGAAAAATAAACCCTGTCTTTAGGGAGCTGCTGGAAGCACGGGAACTCACATGAGCAGCACCCATGGATGCTCAGGCCATGGCTCCTCATCCAGGGGATAAAGGAATCAGATATAAACGTTTGAGTCGGGTGACAGGCTGAGAGGATTCCAGAAGTGCCTTGATCCCAGGAGCCATTTGATACATGGTTTTGGAGGAAACCTGGAGGTGCTGGGCTGGGTGCTGGGATAGGGGATGAGATGGGATGGGTGCTGTAGCCTGCAGATGTCAGCAGTGCTCTGCCAGGTGCCCTGCTCAGTCCTGTGGTAAGCACAGCCCTAATGAAGAGTTGTCATAACACCGAGTGCTGCAGGGAAATAACTGCTAAAGTGAAATAAATGACAGTTTCTCGCTGCTGTAGCACTCTCTGCACTGCCCTGCTCTTGGTTTTCCACCTTCAGGACTGGGTTTCTTCAGGTCATGTTGTGTGATGGCGGTTTTATGGCTGCATCTGTCCTGGTAGATCCAAAGGCTTTTTGTGGCACAGAAAGTGATGATTTAGTGCCTCCCATGGGTACCACTGTCACTGAAAAGGATGCTCATGCACAGAGGAGGGGGCAGGAGCAGGGTGGATGGTTTGTGCTCACCTCCCTTTGTGCAACACTTTGTCAGGTCTGGGAGAGAATGGGGCTCAGCTCCCAAAAACCATGGCTGGGGAGGGAGCCCCATGGAGCCAGTGAGGGAAGGTGTGAGGTGCAGGGATGGGCAGGGCGAGAGCTGCCTGACGTGTGCGCACTGCCCTCTGCCAGGCAGGCACGCAGAGGACATCTTCGGAGAGCTGTTCAATGAAGCCAACAGCTTCTACATGAGGATGAACTCACTGCAGGAGAGGGTGGACCTGCTGGTCATCAAGGTGACGCAGCTGGACTCCACGGTGGAGGAAGGTGAGGGGCTGGGGCTGTTTTGGGGTGGTGGCTGGGTGCTCAGGGCCAGACTGGCCCCAGGTTCATGGGGCTGAGGCCACCCCTGCATTCCCTCTTCCTGCGCCCCCAGTTTCACTGCAGGACATCAACATGAGGAAAGCCTTCAAGAGCTCCACAGTGCAGAACCAACAGGTCGTGTCTCGCAACTCCATCCCCAACCCGGTAATGGAGATGTACCAGCGCTGCGACAAGCCCCCACCGCTCAACATCCTCACGCCCTACAGGTAGGGAGGTCAACACATCACTCCTTGGGGGGACCAAGAGGGTCCTGGAGGTCCTTTCCAGGAGAGACACCAGGGTTGCACCCCATTTGCTGCTCAGCAAGGGCTGAGAGCCTATTTTCTCCAGCTGCTGTGCCACCATCCCCATGGTGTAGGGTGGTTGGGATGCACTGGTACCCCAATAGTGACTCTTGTGTTGGACATGTTCGTGGTGGGGCAACAGCTTATGACTGTGCTCGTACCACCCCACTGTGCTCAAGGGAAGGGGGGTGTTCTCCTATGGCTGATAACCCACTCTCCCAACCCACCAGGGATGACAAAAAGGATGGCCTCAAATTCTACACTGACCCCTCCTACTTCTTCAACTTATGGAAGGAGAAAATGTTGCAGGCAACAGAAGATAAGAGAAAGGAGAAGCGCAGGCAGAAGGTAAGGGGCAGGTGTGGATCCTTGAGGGGGGGATGTCCCAGGACCTGGAGGACAATCACCTTCCTGGTGCATCCGGTGTGCTTGAGCCCATCGCGGGGGACACATCTCATAGTGCTGGGTGGTGGTCATGGAGGAGCTGGGCTGAGATGGAGCCGTGGCTTGTGTGTGCCCCCAGGAGCAGCGGCTGGTGGAAGACTCCACCCGGGAGGTGAAGAAAGTGAGGAAAGCCCGCAACCGGCGCCTGGAGTGGAACATGATGGCGTATGATAAAGAGTTCCGGCCCGATAACAGGTTCTCACCATCCCCCTATCACATGGCGTCGTCGGAAGGATCACTGTCCCCAGATAATAGGCAGGTTTTACCTACTGCACATTTAGCTCACCGCCTCTGCTTTGCTTTTCTGTCTTTGGGGGGATGTGTTGCCTGTAGGAGGGCTGGGATGGTAAACCATACATCCGTGGTAGCTCAGAGGCAGCTGCTGCCTTCAGGGTTGCAACCAGGACCTCAGGAGCAGCCTTGGTGATGGGATAAAGTTGGAGCACTTTCCATTCAGCAGCTAAGGGAGGAGACTCTGTTGGTGTTCTCCTCCCCTCCACTCTCTCTCCGCTATTGCACATCTATATTTTGTGCCCATTTCTTGCTTTGCTGTCTCAACCCCAAAATACTCCCAAAAACCCACATCCCGCTGACACCCCCCCACCCCGACCCCCTTTCCCAGGAATACAACAGTTGGGTTTTCCTGTGCCATAGATCTTACGCATCGGATGCGGCTGACCACTCGTACCCAGCGAGCCCCAACCACCCGGCACAGCTCCTGGCACCAGCGTCCCACCAGGCCCCAGTGGAGCACAAGGAGGGGGTGCTGGTGGCTGCCCCCCCCCAGGAGCACGTCTACCGCCCGTCAGCAGGCAGCCGGCAGAACAGCCTCAACCGGCTCCAGCAGCCCCATGTGCCGCAGCCCCCCGAGGCCATCCTCAATGGGCCGAGACCTCACCTAGTCAAGGAGTACGGGTAGGGCTTCAGCCTGCTCTTCTCTCATGGAGGAGGGATCCCCAGGGGAAGGGGGGCTTGGTGAGGGGTTGACCACCCGTTGGTGGGCTGGTGTAGCAGGGAGAGCCCTCCTCTGCAGCCAAACCCACCAGTGAGACCCACCTCCAAATCAGTCAGGAGCAATTCTGGGGTAACCCCGTTCCAGATAAGGCAACAAGGTGGATGGAGGGGACCATTTTCCCACTGCATGCCCTACTGCCCATCCCACAAGCAGAACCCCCCACCTCCATGACCCTGGGACAGAGCTTACATGAGGGTCCAGAGCAAACCAAGCCACAGCAGAGCCAGTCGGGTGCCCGGGATGGGTGATGGGCGATGGGTGCAGTCATTCCTGTCCCACTGACATGGCTTTGCTCCTGTTGCAGCCCGCAGCCGGTGCCCATGGCAGAGTACTTCGTGCCGCCCGCCCCGCCGCCCCCCCCGCCCGTCATCCCCTCGGCACAGACCGCCTTCGACAGCCCCATCTCGGCTCCCCCTGCGCTGGCCCCCGGCTCTGCTGGCCCCCCATCCTACGCACCCTCACCCCCTCCGGTGCCCCCCGGGCCCTACTCCGCTTCCCCGCCGCAGGCTGGCCCCATGGGACCCCCGGTGGCACCCCCGCCACCGCCGCCAGGGCCCCCCGCTATTGCAGCCTCACCGGCACACTCGGCATCGCCACCGGCTCCCACCGTGGAGCCTCGGAAGCCGCAGATCCCGCTGATGCCCATGAGCGATGCCCGGAGCGACCTGCTGGCGGCCATCCGCAGGGGTGAGTGGGGGCAGCAGGAGGAAAGGGGGGACAGGTCCCCAGTGCTGCCACTTGGTGGCAAAATACCTCTTGGCAAAGGGCTGGCGGTGGTGGTGGTGGAGTGCAAGACAATGTGTGAAGATGGTGGCATCCAGATAGGACCTGGGGCGGGAAAGAAGTGCAGTGCAGGGAGCTAGGGGAAACCCATCATCAGAGGTGGCGTGGAGTTCCACAGGGATGTCCTGAAGCTTCTGTGTGTGTGGCCTCCGTCCATGTTGCAGTAGATGTGCTCCAGGGTCTTTCCCATTTCCCTTTCCTGCAAATCTTAGGTTGAGTGGTGGATTTAACCTTCAAGAAAATTCAGGCTCTTCAGGTCCAGTGGAAGCAGAGGAGGAGCTTTACTCCGTTATGTAGCCCTACAATCTCATGCATCATGTTATCTCATATAGCTTTATAATCCTGTGCATCTTCCTGCAAGGGGGCTGCAGCCACCTCATTTCAGCCAATACTTTCAACTGGTGGGATGCCACACATCAGGTGCACCCATGGGTGCTGGCCACGTTGCCCCTAAAGCCTTCTCCCCCTTTCCTACCTCAGGAATCCAACTCCGGAAAGTCCAGGAGCAATGGGAACAAGAGGCCAAAAAGGAGCCGGTGGGCAACGACGTGGCGACGATCCTGTCCCGCCGGATCGCGGTGGAGTACAGCGAGTCCGACGACGACTCGGAGCTGGATGATAACGAGTGGTCAGACTGAGGGGCCCCGGGGCTGGGCGGGCACGGAGCATCCCAGCTCCGTACCAGGGGTGTGCAGGCACCTTCCCCAACCTCGATGCCGACAAGCGCGGGCAGCCCCGCTCATTCCGGAGCTTTGCTTTTACACTATGTCAAAACCCCTTCAGGCAGCAGCAGCACTGGTAGGATACACCTCGGAGGCAGTGAGACCCGAAGTTAGCAGCACCTTCATGTTTAATGACTGCTCTGAAGGCAGGATTAAATAGGATTACTTAAGGTTTACACCTGGAGCAAGACCAGAGACCAGCCCTGAGTGTGCTTTGCTAGGGAAGGGAAACCCAGAGGCAGTAGTGCTTTGTCAGCTAGACATCAAATGTGTTAATGGGAAGCTCCTGGAAAAGAAGCCTGTTTGCACAGCTGGTGCCACCATGGGTGTGCAGGGGTGGCCAAGCACTCAGTTTGGGGATGCTCTGCTGCCTGCATTTGCAGGATCCGGCAGCTCCAAAGGCTACGAGTGGGCAGGAGCCTCCTTCCCTATAGAATCATTCAATTATAGAATAGCTTGGGTTGGAAGGGCCCCTCAAAGCTCATCTTGTCCAAACCCCTGCAGTGAGCAGGGACATCTCCAATTAGACCAGGTTGCCCAGAACCACATCCAGCCTTGCCTTGCGTGTCTCCAAGGATGGGGTATCCACCGTCTCTCTGGGCAGCCTGTTCCAATATTTTACCCCATTTCGTATAGGAATGGTCACCACTGTCCTGTTGCTCCCTGGAGAAGACCAAGGCATTGGTGACCTGAGCCTGTTTCCATCCTTTAGGGCTACTTTCTGGGGGGAAAAGGGTGAAGGCAAGGCTTGTGCAGCTGGCAGGGAAACACAGCACTTGTCTAGGCTTTGAAAGGTGCAATGTGTGATGTCCTCAGGGGAAAAGGGGCTGCTGGCAAGGGAGCAGAGGTGTCAAGGGAGCTTCCCCAAGCCCAGCTCTCCTTGGCCTTAGTGCTGCACCATTTCAGTATTATTTGGGGAAAAAATAAATAGGCAAAATGCTGCTTTTAGGTAAACTCTCAACTTGCACTTTGCAGCCCCAGAATCTGCACTTGTACAACTGGGATCGGCTCAGATCCAGGCACTAATTCTGACCTGATCCTGCCCCATCCCTTACCTCACCACTGGGCACTGATAGGGGACCCCAGAGAGCTGGCACCCCAGCATGGCACTGAAAATACCACTTTGCTTGTCAAACAGAGCATGATTCATTCAAAGCCTTTCACACAGCTATGAAGAGGGGAGGCACAGGCAGGCAGAGCAAAGGGGTGGGAATACTGAGCATATCACAGTATGAAATAGGGCAGGGAGAGGTTCCCCAGCAGCAGAAAATGGGCCAGGACCAGCCATGGGCTTGCCCATCCTGGTGTCTCGAGGTTCTCTCTTGTGTTCCCATATACCATGAGTTCCTGCGTGGGGTTGAACAGAGCCTCTATGTTGCATCTCTTCTGGGGAGAAGCTGGGCTCTGAGCCCACCTTCCTGGCTCTCCCAGTAGCCATGAGGGTGGTGGCTCTAAAAGCAGTATTTTGACTATCTAGAAGCAACCACACTGCTAAAGGAGGTGGGAGGATATGGCTGGGACCCAAAGGCCAATCCTTACATTCACCCTGAGCAATACAAGTGTGAATGATACCCCAAGTATCCCGGGTTTGCCCCCCCTTTTCATTAGAGAAAGCTCCTCTTGACTTCATCAGGGCTGATTTCTGGAGCAGGAACTCCAAATAAAATCCTTGGATTTAACCCCAGAATTCCCTATCTCAGCAGCACAATTTAAGCTGCTCAGGCACTTGTCCTCCTCCACCTGCCAAGGGCAGCCTCTCCCAGCAAGAGGAAGACCTGACAGTGTGGGATTAGCTGTAGGGATCAATCCCAGTTCCTACATCAGCCTGCTGGGAGGTTCCATGCCTCCCATTTCACTGATCTCCCACTGCAGGCAGGGAGGAGCAGAGCAATAAGATGCATAGAACAGCTCATCTGCAAAACACAGGGAACAGGACTGACCAACCAAGGCATGGAGACAGTGTACTGCAGGTGACCAGGAAGTTCCTGGTGCTTGGCACTCACCTAGACCTCTCATTTCTGATATTAACCCTCTGAGATGCAAGGGAACTTGCTGCAAAAGCATTTGGCCAAAGCCTGGCACCTCTGTCCAGGCACAGAGCCCCTGTGACTGCCTTTCCTTGGGAACGCAGCTGGGATTTGGCCTGGAGCAAGGTCACAAGAAAGTCTTGTAAAGATTCAGAGCAGCACTGAAGCAGCCACCTGGTGGCATTTATTGGGGAGCGTTATTAATGTAGGTGCAATCACAAGACTGTTTGTATGTGAAGAGAAACTGGATCACTTAGGAAGAGTAATAGCCCTTTGTGAGGGAGGGAATAGCAGAGGGCTCTTGGAGCTTCTGTTACCTGTCACAGTGGTAGAAGGGCTGCAGAGCTGGCTGCAGGGACCCAGCTAGGACTTGGGCAGAGCCAAGGAGTCCCACCAGCACATAGAGGCAGGGAAGGGGCTGATTCATCCCAGTAACACAAAGCTGAACTGATCCTGGTGGAAACTGGAGAGGAGCCGAGTGCTCATCGGAGGCTGCGTGCCTTCTTTACATGCACGAGTTGCTTTGTGTGTGCCATGTGCTGTAGCCCCCCACTTCCCTGTCACTTCACAGTGACTTTGCTGTGCTTGGGGATGGCAGCAGTCAGCCAGCCCATGCTACTATCAGGGTCGATGCCAGTGCATGGCAGAGCACTTGACAATCATGTAACCCAAGCCTGCCCTGTGCGGGTAGCAAAGGTCACCCCATTTCCTCACAGCTTTGTGTTCTTACACCATCCCTGGACATCCCAGCACATCCTCATGTTTGTAACCCACTTCATGAAATTCCCAGCCCGATAGCACAAGCCCATTTCACACACTCAACTCCAGAGTAGGACCATAACCTCCCAGCATTGCCTATTGCTTGAAGACATCATGATCCAGCTCTTCCAGGGATCTGAACTGCCTCAGCTCCACTGAAGCAGTCTTAATACCAGGGTTGAGGCTGATCTACAGGGTAGCCTTTCCCCAGTGAGATGTCTACATCAGAGCACACTGGTCAGGTCTTGTGTAGCTGGTGGAGAGATAACCTGCATAGTGAGTGTGGGCTGTAGACAACCATTTCTAGTCTGATCATGGTGCACCTTGCTCTTCCCAGCTCCCTTCTAGCAGCACCACGAGGGGCAAGCCCATGGTGGCACAGAGCCCCAGTCTCATAATACAGCCATTTCTGCAAGGTCAGCTCTGCTGGCAAGCCACCATCCTCAGTGCCTTTGCCTGAGGGACTCAGCCACATTTGAGGATGACCATCTCTATTTTAGGTGCATTCATCTATTTTTTGCCCAGGTGACCTATGAAATCCAACACAAGGGACACAGACTCTTTGGTTGGTCTGGCCTAGCTGTGCTGGACCTGGTTGTGCCACAGTAATTAACACAGGCTGGCTGACCCATATGCTGTGTACTCTGTTCTGCACATATGTGCCTATTTCCATAGACTCTTCCAAAAGTAGGCCAGGCGGTGTTACGCAACCTGGAAGGCTCAAATCCTCATGTGGGCTGATATAGAAGTGAATACTTAAATATTTTATCGAGCTTGGCAGCCATTAAAAATACAATCCAGGTCGCAGACGATTGAACTGCTCCTTTCTCAAGTGTACCAGAATTGGGCTGAGGAGGCTCTCTTGTACATTAAGCTATCATATTCCACATTAAAATATAGCAGTGGCATTTCATTGCCAACAGATAATCAAGAGTGCCAAACATTTAATGAGCCCAACTGATGTCCCAAGAGTTTCTCTTCCCATTTTATCTGCTTTCTCCTACTTGCCAAATGATGGGCATAGATTAAAAATAATAAATACGATTGCCAAGGGAGTGAAGTATATTCTGTGTGCCTACAAATAGATTGGGCCAGAGTAGAACAAGAGTAAATAAGCCAGCTTGGTTCTGCTTAGAGCGCTGTAGTCCTCAAGGTCCATCAGGAACCTCTTGGACATCTCTGATATAGCCGAGAAGGAACATAATGGGACCACCATGCCCATGGTACATTGGTCATGCCTGTGAAGGCTGTGTCAGGTGTGAAGTCTGGGTCTTGAGCAAGTTTCATGAAGGCTGGTGGAAGTCTGGCAGTGTTCACATCCTGACTTTGCGCCCTCAGAGTCTTCTTGACTTTGAGTGAGCATTGCTGCCGACACCGGTGGCTCTTAGATTATCCGTGTCCTGAAGGAAGAAGGGACTGGGTAGTTTCTAACTTTCCATCCTGGATAGAGCCCTAGAGAGGAGCAGTCATCTCATCCCGTGAGAGCTCCTGCTTTTGCAGCTGTTTTGTCTTGGGAAGGTTTTACTCTGGTGACAAACACAAGGCTGAACATGGCTTCCTCAGACAGTTCCATTCAAATCGGAGCCCTCGAGTTTCCTCCCAGTAACTTTTCCATCCCTATCTCTTTCTCAAGTCTCCCAACGGCCTGAATGGAAGCTTTGCAGACTTTATTGGGAACAAAGCCCGAATTAACACCTCAGCTTTAATGATAAGTGGAAGTTCCACTTGGAGGGATGCAGGTTGTAGCAACCAAGGTGGTATTCTGAGGGGTGTTTTCCAGAGGTGTATGGCTGGCTGTTTCCTTGTGGATGGACTGTGGGAAGCACTCCCCATCATGGGGTGCTGGCAAGGGCAACAAAAGCCCTTCCTTTCACCGTGATTCCTGTTCTCCTGTAGTAGTAGTAGTTATGTAGGGGTAAGGATTTCTCAGCTCACACGTCACTTTCCAGATTAAAAGGGCAAGGACTCTGTCCGGAGGATTTCACAGTTTACAGCAAAGACCATATAACCTGCACTGCACTTTAGAAGCCTCAAATGCTCACTCACCCATGAATTTACCCTCAACTGGGCAACAGCACCTTGAGGACTGTTGTCCTTTCCTTAGGTGACCCCACAACCAGCACCACATCCACATCCCCCACCGAAGGCATCAGTGGGGTTCCCCTACCCCTTCACTGCCCCCATGCAGAAGTGCCTGAGCAAAGTACAGGAGTGCCAAGAAATGCTGGTTTTGTCTCTGAATGGGTCACCATGCCCTCAGGATGCGCCTTTCCCAATCCTCACACAGGATTCCTCTGCTCCCCTGGGATGACGACGCATGCCATAGGAAACATGCCCAGCCACACCATTGCATCTACCTGCCAACACTTGGAGCTGCCCGTGCAGTTCATGCAATAGCGTCTAAGCTCATAGAAAGTGTCTTTTCTCCTTCAGGCACTTACATGCAAACCTAGGTTTTGGAGGATTTCAATCCTTTGGGGTCAAAGAGTTGTTTTTTGTGAATCTGATCTTCCTTTAACAAACCCCAGGTTTTCCAGGACCACTGTCTCAAGCTCCACTTTCTCCAGGTAAGAACTGGGCCTACATTTGGCTTGGGAGGAAAGGAAAAACCACAGTCAGGAACTTGAGTGAGGGGCTTGCCCCAAAGCCTTCAGTATCCTACCCACAAGCAGTGTGGGAGGAAAACAATAGGATGACCCCGAAGAACACCATCCAGGAGTCAGCCAAGGCAGCCAGGCTGTGTGCTCCCTTAGCTTTGTTGCCCCTTTTCTGGTGTTGGTGTTGACCCTCAAATACAACAGTGATAAAAAACGTTGCAGATTAAACACCTGAGACAGAAGGATGTGAACTAACTGCCAAAAGCCAGGCTGTGCAGCTGATATTGCTGTGTTACAACAGCTAGAACACAGCAGTTCCAGCAGCCTGCTCCTCCAGACCATTCATGGCCCACAGATCGCAGCATATAAACTATGCTGGTACATTAAGGTGAATGATTTAAGTCACCCCTTGATTTGGGGTAGCTCAGCTGAGGAATCCAAACCCAACAACCCACCCCCCAAACTAAACCAACCAACCAACCAGCTTACATGTGATGTCCAGAAGGAACAATCTGTTCTGTCTCCTTCCACTGGACCTTGAGGGAAAGTCAGACCCAGCCTCTCCTCCCAGGTAGCCACCAAGAAATGGAGCAGTTATCATCATAAGCACTTCTGAAAAGCAGCTCTTAAGACACCAGCATTTAAAACCAGAGGAAACATCACATCAGCCCACAAATGCAAGAAGGAAATAAGTCTCTTCTGGCCATGGAAGGTACTTTTGTCCCTGAAGCACCCACCCCAGCTCAAGTGTTTCAAATCCCATTGATTTTCACCTA